AAAATCCAGTCCAGTATCTCTGATGATACATTATGGTACTCCCCTTTGACTCACTGTAAACTGAGCATAAGAACATGAGAACATAAGAACTAGGAGCAGGAGTAGGCCACCCAGCCCCTTGAGCCTGCCCCGCCATTCAATAAGATCATGGCTGATCTTTTTGAGACTCAGCTCCACTTACCCGCCCACACACTATAAGCCTTAATTCCTTTACCGTTCAAAAATTTATCTAGTCTTGCCTTAAACACATTCAGCGAGATAGCTTCAACCGCTTCACTGGACAGGGAATTCCATAGATTCACAACCCTTTGGGTGAAGAAGTTCCTCCTGACCTCAGTCCTACATCTGCTTCCCTTTATTTTGAGGCTATGCCCCCTAGTCCTAGTTTCACCTGCTAGTGGAAACAACCTCCCTGCCTCCACCTTATCTATTCCCTTCATAATCTTGTATGTTTCTATAAGATCTCCCCTCATTCTTCTGATTCCAATGAGTATAATCCCAGCCTACTCAGTCTCTCCTCATAATCCAACCCTCTCAACTCTGGAATCAACCAAGTGAATCTCCTCTGCACCCCCTCCAGTGCTAGTATATCCCAAGTAAGGAGGCCAAAACTGCACATAGTACTCCAGGTGTGGCCTCATCAGGACCCTATACAGCTGCAGCATAGCCTCCCTGTTTTTAAACTCTATCCCTCTAACAGTAACAGACAAAATTCCAATCGCCTTTTTAATTACGTGCTGCACCTGCAATCCTACTTTTAACGATTCATGTGCAAGGACACCTAAGTCCCTCTGCACAGCATAGTGCTGCAATTTTTTACCATTTAAAACATAGTCCATTTTGCTGTTATTCCTACCAAAATGGATGACCTCACACTTATCAACATTGTACTCCATCTGCCAGACCTTTGCCCACTCACTTAGACTATCTATATCCCTCTGCAGACTTTCAGTGTCTTCTGCACATTTTGCTCTACCACTCGTCTTAGTGTCATCTGCAAATTTTGACACAGCACACTTAGTCCCCAACTCCAAATCATCTTTGTAAATTGTAAATAATTGCAGTCCCAACACTGATCCCTGAGGCACACCACTAGCCACTGACCGCCAACGAGAAAAACACCCATTTACCCCTACTTTTTGCTTTCTACTGGTCAACCAATCCTCTATCCATGCCAATACATTACCTGTAATACCGTGCAACTTTACCTTATGTAGCAGCCTTTGGTGTGGCACCTTGTCAAATGCCTTCTGGAAATCCAGATACACTACATCCACAGGTTCCCCATTGTCCACCATGCAAGTAATGTCCTCAAAGAATTCCAAATTAGTTAAACATGACCTACCCTTCATGAACCAATGCTGGGTGTTCCCAATGGGAGAATTTATATCCAGCTGTCTTGCTCTTTCTTCCTTAATGACAGAATCAAGCATTTTCCCCACTACCAAAGTTGAGCTAACTGGCCTATAGTTACCTACTTTTTGCCTACTTCCTTTTTTAAACAGTGGCATCACATTGGCTGTTTTCCAATCTGCGGGAATCACCCCAGAGTCCAGTGAATTTTGGTACGTAATTACTAGTGCATTTGCTATTTCCCCATCACCTCTTTTAGTACCCTGGGATGCATTTCATCAGGGCCATGAGACTTATCTACCTTTAGCCCCCATTAGCTTGCCCAGCTCTGCCTCCTTAGTGATAATGATAGTTTCTAGGTCCTCACCTGCTATAACCTTCTTGCCATCAGTTTTCAGCAGGTTATTGGTGTCTTCCACTGTGAAGACCAACACTAAATAACTGTTTAATGCCTCGGCTATTTCCTTATTCCCAGTTATTAAATTGGCCTTCTCATTCTCCAAAGGACCAATGTTTACCTTTGCCACTCTTTTATGATTTACATACTTATAGAAACATTTGCTGCCTGTTTTTATATTTTGAGTTAGCTTTCTCTCATAATCTATCTTACTTTTCTTTATAACTTTTTTTGTGGCTTTCTTTCCCACACCACTTTTTTATTATTTATTAGTTTTAATTTTAGCATTTATTAGTTAGTTATTCCTTAGTTTTCCCTCAATCCTTTCTTTAATAATGGAGTGACCTTTGCAATTCTTCAATGTCTACTCAATCCTTTATAGTCATCCTGAACACCTCAATTACATCATCTCTTAATCTTCTATATTCAATAAAATATGCAACTTATATGCAACAAATAGCAAGTAGTCTATGCAACTTATCTGCATTATGTAATCTTCTCAATCTGGGTATCGTTTCCGTGAATCTATTCTAAAAAGCCATTACATCCTCCCTAAGGTGCTCAGAACTGGGCTGAATTTTCCACATAGGCTTTAACCAGATTTTTCTATAACTCTTAAATACTTTATATGGTCCCAGCCACGTTACTTACAATGTCATCTAAGCATTGTATAAAAAGACATTTTGTCAAAACTTTTTTACCCTGCTCTTGTCAGGACAATTCAAAAGAACACCAATAAAAAGGAAAATAAATATTTATACTGTATGAGAGGATAATGCTGCTTGATTGGCAAGTGGGAGGGCCTGAGCCATTTGTTCATCAAACTTGAAACAGGGCACATCAAAACTATTCTGCAGAATAATGGCTACTCTGATCAGATAACTAATCGCTGTACATCATGCAAACCCCTCAGCAGGCCTAAGGCAATCGCTTTCAGTCCTGAGACGTGCCAAGACTACCTCAGCGCAACCTGGAAGCATTATTTATCTTAATAGTTCATGAAGCTAGCTGTTTCATAAAACTACTGTGTGGAATTAACAAGAGTGGTGTTTACCATTAATACGCTGCTGATGTCAAGCCAAAAATTCATTCATATGGTCAATGAATTCAGTGGTCAGTGTGAAGTCAGGAATGTAGGCCAAATAGCCCAAAGACTGACAGAATGTATCAAACAGCATATCCCTTTGGTCACTTGCAACAACCAAGTTGCTGACATAACCAACTAGCATGCACCTGCAACACTCGCAACACGGTGCCCAAGATTTGATGCAATTCTGCAATTGGACAATATTTGCAGGATAATCCCAAAGTTTGTGAAAAATTCCACTGAGAAGCAATTTAGGATTGCTAGTTTTGCTCACAGTATGGTGCACTTGTGTGAACTGGAAGCTACATTATTAATACACAGAATCCTGTTCTTCTGAGACAAAAACAGCATGAACACATACTGTACCTGATTCAACTCAACAAAATAAGTCACTGTCTTCACTGGTTCATTTCTCAGCACAATGGTTTGACCAATCAGGGTCAACTTGCCTGGTTTACAATCATAACTAAACCTGGTAGTTAACTGTCACTTATCATTAGCTGTTGTATTCTCTATGACAATGCCTCTACTAATCAGTGGCCAGCTGTTAACCAACAGCACTCTTCTCAAATGTAGTATGATCGTCACTTTCCCCCTTCAATTGTTATTTTTGCAAATTGTTCTGATGAGAAAAAACCAAAAAGAACTGACAAAATGACCCTTTTGTTCAGCACTACTTAAACTTTATACCATCAAGAATCATTTAACTTAGTCAATTTAGACCATTTGGAATATATCACTCCCTCTTCTTTCTTCCTAGACACTTATAAGTTTAGTGAAAACTAATACTTTGGGCAGATCCCAAGGGCAAACCACTGTTCATATACTGTCACTTAGAGCACATAGTTCATATTTGTTAATACCTGCTGTTTCCCGCCTCTTTAGCAATTCCCTATGTGTCCATATAATTAATATTGATAAATATTTCCCTGTCTAATTCTATTAAATTCAACAATGTCAGTTAAACCCAACCTAACAACAGCAAATGGATACTTCTTCTCACTGATCAGTTCATATTTACCTTAATGCTGTGACACCATGTACCAAGTAACAGATTCTAGTGAGTTCCCTATAACTGACATTAGATTAGTAGTCCACTTAATTGCCTGGCATCTTTCTCATATCATTTCTAAACAATTTGGTAACATTTGCAATTTTTCAAATTAATAATTCAAGATCATAACATGTGGTCCTTTGCTTCACCACTCTGAATCCAGCTGGGAAGGCAGCCGGAGCTTTAGTTCAGTGAAAGATTGCACTTCCAACAGTGCAGCACACTATGCTGCAGCACATGCATTCAGAGTTGGTACCTCTGCTTGCCATACCTTAAATTATCCCAGCAACTATCTCTTCCTATTTCACTTTCCCAACTTTGGTTCAACCTCACCCACACTCCTGTGATCCTCGGCACATCTGACCCCCTGTGAACCTTCAGCACCCCTCAGCACTTTTGGCCCCTCATGATCCTGCAGCACCACTCAGAACATCTGAACCCATGAGACCCCTCAGCACATCTGACCTGACATGAACCCGTCAGCACATCTGACACTCCTGTGAGCCCTCAACACATCTGGCCACCCCGTGACCCTGCAGCACATCTGGCCCTGTGAACCATTGGCACATCCACTCACCAGGAGCTTTGATCTCCTGAGTTAACCGTACCTGTATCCTTTCAGCCCATCACCAACCTCTGTCTCCAAGCATGCATTTAATCCACAGGTTTTGCTTTTTTGAAGACATTTCTGGAATATAGTTAGTACGAGCAGGAGCAGCATTGATGGGAGTGCTGCACTGTTGGAGGGTTAGTATTGAGGGAGAGCAGCACTGTCGGAGGGTCATCACTAATTGCCCTTGAGGAGTAATGATGATGGGCTTTTTAAATTGCTGCAGGCCAAATGGCAGTTTCTAAGGATATGCACATTCACTACTCTTCAATGGACTTTGCTGGAAGTGTGACTCCTCATTAGTTGAAAACATTCTATCTGACCTCATTTAATTCCTGACTTTATCTTTCAACTTTGTCTTCTGGGTTTTGAACACTTCACCACTCTGAACAATTTGAATCTTATTAAGCAGCCTGTGGAACAGAAAGTCAGATTGTACATCAGATTATGTGAATATTTCTAAACTAGCCAAGTGCTAAAAATAAAATGGTGGTCTTACCTCCAAGGCCAGGCCGCAGCCTATTGTCATACCCATCTAACAGGCGATCCAGGATCCGGGTGAAGATGGTAATGTTGTCCTTCCCCTCTGTTGGTGCTGGTCGAGCATGTTTCTTCGAAAATCTATGAACAAAAGAAAGATATAACAATTGTTCCCGAATATTTTTGAAATTTTGACAAAGGATGCTGACATAGGAATAGGAAGAAGCCATTCCACTCCTTAACGTTGCATCACCATTCAATTGTAACCTTAAGATCACAAATAGCAGAAATTGACCACTCAGCCTATTGAGTCTGCTCCACCATTCAATGAGATCATGGCTGATCTGATAATCTTCATCCCCACTTTTCTGCCTTTTCGCCATAACCCTTGATTCCCTTACTGATTAAAAATCTCTCTATCTCAGCCTTAAATAATAACTTAATGATATTGCTTCAACAGTGGTCAGTGGTGAAGAATTCCACAAATTCACTACCCTCTCTCAGAAGAATCATAGAATTCCCTACAGTGTGGAAACAGGCCCTGTGGCCCAACAAGCCCACAGAGCATCCCACCCAGTCCCTTTCCCTTATAACCCACCTACACTACATATCCCTGAATGCTACAGACAATTTGGCATGGCCAATCCACCTAGCCTGCACATTTTTGGACTGTGGGATGAAACCAGAGTACCTGGAGGAAACCCACACAGACACGGGGAGAATATGCAAACTCCACACAGACCATCGCACAAGGGTGGAATCGAACCCAGGTCCCTGGCGCTGTGAGGCAGCAGTGCTAACCACTGAGCCACAGTGCCACCCTTCCTTCTTATCTCTTTAATGTGCAAGCCCTTATTCTGAGATTATACTCTCTGGTCCTAGATTCTCCCATAAGGGAAAACTCATGTTTGCTGAGTGTCTGACCTTCATTTATCTAGTTCTGCTCCAAACTTTATCTAAGGTATATCTAGCAGTCTCAGTGTTGGATAATAACCCACAGCATCCATGGAGCCTTGGTGATACTGGTGGGAGTGGTCATGGGCAGGTACGGCAAAAGTTCCAGACCACTGCTCTCCTTTGATTAACATTGTTCTCCCGGACAGCCCTAACTCTAACTTTAGGACGTGATCTTAATGATAGGAACGTATTAAACGGCACAAGCCTACACTGGCACCCGGTCAAATGATGTCTTTATTTTAAAATTCTCCTCCTTGTTTCCACAGCCCTCAAGGCTTTGACCCTGCCTATCACTGTAATCACCTCCAACTCTCCAAGATCTCTTCCTCCAATTCTCTTGCATGTTCTGAATTATATCTGCTCCAATGTCTGGTTGTCATCAACTGCCTAGGCCACAGGTTTTGGAATTGTCTTTCTACTCCTCTTCATATCTCTATCTTGCTTTCTTCCTTTCAGATGTTGAAAATATCTCTTTGACTGAGCTTTCTGTCATACCCTATAATGAAACATCCTAAGAAAGTTTACAGGACTATTATGTTGAAAGCACTATACACATTTAAGTTGCTATTGTTGTTGCTGCTGTTGTTGAAATTTCAATATTAGTCACTGAAAAGGGTACTGAGGAACCCTGAGGAACTGCTCTGCTTCCCATAAAGTAGCCCTTAATTATGCCTAAAGGAATGGATCGTTCACTGTTTTTACATAATCGACCACAACAAGTAATGTTCTCTATTTAACTGCTATGAACCAGTCTCAGTCTAAATAGCACACAGAACTACCCAGAATATAAATGTGTACAATGGACAATCCAACATGGTTCTATTCCAGAAAGCAAGTTGGTGAACCATCGTACTGGGTACAATCTTTTCTATTTATTTACACGATTACTCATTATAGCATACTGCTCCTTACACAGCAGTTTCAATTTTAATTCTAATTTGTGTCTGTTTATACGGGCTTAAGTCAGTTCCTATTTCACGGTGACCACCTACATAATTAATAGACAAGTAATGATTCAGTGCTAGAATTCACACTCCGCTTGGGCTTACTCTCATCTTTCTTCATCTAAATCTATCATTGAAACTCAAGATCTTCCTCCCTTATATGCTTATCTAGCTGCTCCTTCAAACTTTTATCTACAGTTTGCCATAAAGACTCCTCCGTCCACTCTCTGGCTGACGGAATTTTGTCCGAGTTCAGTGCTCCATTTTTCTGGTGACTATCCCGGATGGCAGTTTTCTACTTTTGCTGTACCCAAAGAAAGGAAACTTTACAGTTCTGTTGCCATCTTTGCAGTTTTTTTTGTGTTATCCAACGCTCTATACCTGTATGGTAACACAGCAACTAGGATCTGTACAAAGAACTCGAAACATTGTCTATGCAATGATCCCAGCTCATGGCACAGCCGGACAAATCAGATCCCAGAAAGGACTCCGGTTTAATAAGTCATATTTAGGAAGTAATAAGGGAGTACTGCACGGTCAAAAAATTGAGGACTGTAGGAATGCAACATTGTCAGCTTCGAGAGCACGCTGCACAGGCGAACGGTTGGTGCTGAGGGCGCGCTGCAGCAGCAGAGGATCAGTATTGACTGAGTGCTGCTGTGTTTTCTTTCAGATGATAAACTGACCACCCAGCCTGGTCTGGCCTATGTGTGATCCTAGAACCACTGCTAAATGGACTAGCAACCTAATTAGTTCTATCAAATTGCTACAAAATCTGAACAACACAATAAAACTGACTACCTGACAAAAAATTACAGTAAACTCAGCACTATGGACCTGCAATGTCCTGCTGACCAATATCAGGGGGCTGGTGCCAAAACTGGGAGAGCTGTCTCACAGACTAGTCAAGCAACAGCCAACACTGTCATACTTAGAATCATACCTTAAAGGCAATGTTCCAGACACCACCATCCCAGGATATGTCCTGTCCCATTGGAAGGACAGATCCAGCTGAGATGACAGCACTGTGGTATTCAGTCAGGAGGCAGTTGCCTGAGAGTACTCAAGCTTGACTCTGGACATTGTGGAATCTCTTGACATCGGATCAAACATGGACCCAAGAATCACCTGCAGGTTACCATGTGCTTTCCTCCACTATACCTCAAATGATGAATCGCAAAGAGATTACAACACAGTCCTTGTGGAGGTTAAGTCCCACCTTCAAATTGATAATATCCTTCACTGTGTAATTGGACAGATGTTGAACATATTAAATACCCCAAAACTGGGTGTCTATGAGGTGCTGTAGTTCATCATCAGCAGCAGAATCATACTCGAGCACAATCTGCAGCCTCATGGCCCAACAAATCCTTTACCCAACTTTTACCATCAAACCAGGGTATCAAACCTGCTTCATTGGAGAGTGCAGGAGAGCATGCCAGGAAGAGCACCAATGGTGTCACAACCTGCTGAAGCTACCATACATGAATACTCACATGCTAGACAGGGTAAACAATATATAATAGACAGAGCTAAGCAATTCCACAACCAATGGATCAGAGTTAATCTCTGCAGTCCTGCCACATCCTGTCGTGAATGGCCTTGGATAATTAAACAACTCACTGAAGGAGGACCCTCCACAAATATCCATACATTCAACTATTAAGAGCCCAGCACATCAGTGCAAAAGATAAGGCTGAGCCAGCAAAGTGCCGAATCGATGATCCATCTCAGGATCCTTCAAAGGTCCCCAGCATCATAGGTGTTAATCTTCTGCAAATTCAACACACTCCATGTTGGAGACACTGGATAGTGTAAAGGCTATGGGCCTTGGTAACATTGCAGCAATAGCACTGAAGATTTGTAGCCCAGAACGGGCTGCAACTCCAACCAAGCTCTTCCAGTACAGTTACAACATTGACATCTCTGAAAATTTGGAAAATTGCCCAGGTATGTCCTGTACATAAAAACAGGAAAAATCCAACTCAACCCATTACCACTTCATCAGTCCACTCTCGGTCATCAGTAAAAGTCATGAAAGGGATCATTGACAATGTTTCAAGTGGCACTTGCAAAGCAATAACGTGTTCAGTGAAGTCCAGTTTGGGCTCTGCCATGACCACTCAGCCCCTGAGCCTTTTTTCAAACATGGACAAAAGAATTCAGAAAGTGCGGTTAGAGTGACAGCCCTTGACATCAAGCCACATTTGACTAAGTGTGGCATCAAGGAACCCTAGCAAAAGTGGAATCAATCAGTATCAAGAGGCAAACTCTGTGCTGTTTGGAGTCATACTTGGCACATAGGGAGATGGCTATGGCTGCAGGTCAGTTATCTCAGCTTCAAGACATCACTGCAAGAGTTTCTCAGGGTAGTGTTCTCTGCCCAACCAACTTCAGCTGCTTCATCAATGACCATCCCCCCATCATAAAGTCAGAAGTGGGGATGTTTGCTAATGATTACACAATTTTCAGTACCATTTGTGACTCCTCAGATACTGATGTAGCCCATATACAAAAGCAGTAAGACCTGGACAATACCCAAGTTTGGGCCATAAGTGGCAAGTAACATTTGTGCCACATAAATGCCACACATTGACCATCTGCAAAAGTCATATTCTAACCATCACTCATTGGCATTTAATGGCATGACCATCACTGAATGACCCACTATTGAAATCCTAGGGATTACGATTGACGGTGAAATAAAATGAACCATTTGTGTTGAACCTCAGGAGATGGGAGAGATATTAAATGAATATTTGCATCAGTTTTTTTACTGTGGAGAAAGAAATGGAGGCTACAGAACTCAGGGAAATAAATATAAATGTTTTGAAAACAGTCCACATTACAGAAGAGGAAGTGCTAGAGGTCTTAGAAAAGATAAAGATGGAAAAATCTTCAGGACATGATCAAGTGTATCCCAGGATGTCGTGGGAAGGTAAGGAGGAAATTGCAAGGCCCCTAGCAGAAATGTTTTGTCTAATTTATAACAACACGTGAGATGCTGGGGGACTGGATGGTGTCTAATGTTGTGCCTTTATTTGAGAAACCTGGGAACTATAGACCCGTGAGTCTGACATCGGTGGTGGGTAAGTTGTTGGAAGTGATTCTGAAAGGTAGGATTTATATGCATTTAGAGAGTCATGGAATAATTAGGGATCCTTAGCATGGTTTTGTGCAAAGGAAATAGTGTCTCATGAACTTGATTGAGTTTTTTGAGGAATTAACCAAAAAAAATTG